TTCAGGGGTGCCTGGGTGGCTCAGCTAGTTAAGCCTCTGCACTCAGCGGGGAGTCTGCTTGAAGATTCTCTCCCTCTGCTCCTCCCCCATCTCACGCCTGGGTGCGCGCCCGCTCTCTAAAAACAAGTCTTTAAAAATAAATGTCAGAGCATTTAGACTTTTCTTAGAGTACTATATGGTGATTCTGTTGGTTTCATTCTCCCCCCCACATTTACTGAACAACAAAGTGTGAAAGTAATGTGTCCCATAACTGGCCTCTGGAAGAATTACAACTGTTAGACTTCTGAACCTTCAACAGAAAGTTATACGCATCTGTGTTCAAAAAGTGATGAAGTCCTTGGAGATGGCCATGTTCTATTACTTGGAAAGATAGTAGAGACTGAGCGTTCTGGCAGGCAGTTTTGCTGCCTGGTGCTTGATACAGAGCCACACATTGGTGTCTTACTGGATTTGTGTAGAAAATAGGTGCAGAAAGTTATTTCTGAATAAGACCGGTGGTTTCTGTGTTTTGTTTTGTTTTTTTTCTATCTTAAATAATGCTTTGGACATTAATAGCTAGAGCTAAATCCTTATGCATATAGGTAATGTCTTTTGAAACTTTCCTAGAAGTGATGGCTTCCCATTCTTATTGATGAATTGGTTTCTGGAGCTATAACAAATTATATTGGAAAGGAACTTTTTTTTTCTTCCAGGTAGAAGCTTTTATTTAACAGATTGGTAAAAATGTTAGCAAGTGTGCAGTGAAATGGGTGTTGTTACAGTCATGGCAGAAAATACAAATATCTATGACCCTTTAGAAAACAATTTGGTTTACATAAACCCTCTCTGTTTTAGCAAGATAAATACTGACTATTCCAGGCTGACTGGTCGTTATGATTCCAGAGCTCCCAGAAGAATTTTAGTCCTAGAGAAGACCTAGATTTGTCTGGCTTAGCCCATCTTACAGCTAACTACTGGGAGTGGAATGGGCTCATAGAGACCTGTGACCAAGTTTTGGATCAAGGGGGAGAGATGGAAAGATGGGAAGGAATTAGGGAAACTAGCTCCAGTGGGACCACATAGGTTAATATAGAATGGTGAAGGGATGTTTCTTCCAAGGAAAACATTCTGGGCTGGGCTGCAGGAGGTGTGGAGAAGGCCGCTGTTCTAAAACTTTTTGGAGTCAAAACTTCTATACTGTTTAAAAGTGAGGGGTGCCTGGGTGACACAGTCAGTTAAGCATCTGACTCTTGGTTTCGGCTCAGGCCCTCTTCTCAGTGTGGTGAGATTGAGCCCCACATGGGGCCCACATGCTTAAAACTGACTCTCTCTCCCCCCTAACCCTTACGCCCTCTAAAATAAATTAAAAAAAAAAAGTGTACTGAGGGCCCAAGGAGCTTTTATGTAGGTTACCTATCAATATTTATCATTAGAAATTAAAGCAAATATTTAAAATATTCATTGAAATAAACATTATAATAAAATATGGGAAATGGCCATATTTTGTAAACTAAAACATTTTAATGAAAATAGTGGCATAATTTTACATTTCTTTTAAATCTCTCTGATATCTGGTCTGTCATTTGTTTCTGCATTCAGTCTGTGAGGGTATTTGTTTTGGTTGAAATAATATGAAGAAAATTCACCCTCACACAGATATTTGGGAAAAGTAGGAATGTTTTAATAGCCATTTAGATAATTGTAGATATTCTTTTTGGATCTTTCACCAAAACTTGGTCTTTCTTATAAAGATTTTATTTATTTGACAGAGAGAGACACAGTGAGAGAGGGAACACAAGCACGGGGAGTGGAGAGGGAGAAGCAGGCTTCCTGCTGAACAGAGAGCCCAATGCGGGGATCGATCCCAGGATCCTGGGATCATGACCTGAGCTGAAGGCAAGCCCTTAACGACTGAGCCACCCAGGCGCCTCAAACTTGATCTTTCTTGAACTGTGAATGGATCTTCTATCTTTGCATGATTTATAACATCATGTATTCGTCACTTGGAAAATATGGTTCACTGAAATCTTCTAAATGTTGAAATGTTTCATTATATAATATGAAGACATTATATTAAGATCACCAGCAACCTCATCAGAATATTCTTAGAAAGCTCTCAAGCTCATAGCAGTGGATACAGATTTTCCAAAATTCTAATTTTTGCTTGAAAGCTTGAATTTTATCATTGGCAATAAATACTGTCCTTTGTTTTCCTTGAAATGACACACTCTATTCATTTTTGAGAAAATGTCAGAAACCCAAGTTGAAATAACCATTGTCAGTCATCCTTTCGGGTAAAATTGGTGTTCCTTTAAAGTGGTTAGTTCACTTCACAACTCAGTCACAAATGCTTTTTCTCAACTATCCTGTAAGAGTTCTCATGTGCATTCCATTTCATCAGTTGCAATATTAAAAAGACCTATATAAGGATTGAGATTTAGTAAAAGAACTTTTACTACTTATTCACAGATATTCTTAAGTAAAACCTCTTTTTTCTTTGTCTTTTAAACATCTTAAATGCATAGTGGTGAAGAATACCATGACTCCAAGTGTAGTTTGGTGTCGCTGCTTTTATTTGTGCTAAGGTTCCAGCAGTTTTACCTAGGGGTTTGAGGGCCCCACTTTGAAAATTATTGACATAGTTGCTTAGACCTATAAATCCTATCTTCTCATGTACAGGATTAGAAGAGCATGTCATAAGCAGAAACTGATCTCAGTAATTTTTGTTGTTGTTGCAGTGCGCATAATATGGTTTTAAGGGGTTTTAGTCCAGAGCAACAATTCATATATTTTATTTTGCTTATGTAGAATTAGACAAACACTAATCTACACAGGGAAGTTCTAAAATTTAGTTGGGTGGTTTTTTTGTTTTTGTTTTTGTTTTTTCCTGTTTTGTTTTTTGGAACTAAGGTCTAGGTGGTATGTTCCAAACTAGGCTGAAGAATTTGAAGAAGAAAATGCAATACTCGATAAGTAGTTTTCTTTAAGAACCCAGGATTAATTTTGAAGATAGTTTTTCTTTTAGTCTGTGAAGAGGTTTGGGACACACTGAAAATTAGAGATGAGAATACAAAATAAACCATTATTGAATAGATCTAATGATGTCTTCAGTACAGTTTTTTGTTCTATAAAGAACATTTGGTGAAGTGCTTCAAAAATAGTTTCTTTGGCTTCAACTATATTGTAATTGAGATTATATAGTTCTCAAAGCAATGCTTCTTTAATACTGTGTTTCTGAAAAATTGTTTTTCCATAACTAGAACCTAATTGTTCGGCAGCTAGTATCTAATAATAGTGACTTTTTCCTAATTTATAATAGAAAACAGTACAGAGTAAATGTCTATTAGTAGGTGAAAGCATGTAATGCTTTTTTCTGTTAACCTTTAAAAATCAACACATGTAATGGTACTTTTAAAAATATGTAAATATAGCATTTCTTGTAAGTACTCAGTTTGCGATGGAATAAAATATTAGAATTTTATGGGGTTTGAATTATATATTGCTCTGTAACAAATGTAGCACCCTAAAACAGCAACATTATCTCACAGTCTCTGTGGGTCAGGAATCTGCATGGCTTATCAGGATTCCCTTGCTCTGAGTCTCTCACAAGGCAGTAAAGGTGTTGGCTAGTACTGCAGTCATCTCAGAGTGAGACTGGGAGAGACTCTCCTCCAAACTCATTCATGTAGTTTTGGTAGAATTAATCTCTTTACAGGCCTCAGGTCTGAGGGCAGCAGTTGGTCAGAGGCCTCGCTCAGTCTCTTGCCATGTGGCTGTGGGCTTCTCCATAAGGAGATGGCTTCATTGCGGGGGGGAAGGGGGGTAAATGAAAGAGCAGGAGAGGGTGAGCAACATAGAAATTCTTATCTTTTTGTAACCTAATCCTAGAGGTGATATCACATTATTTACTGTATTGTTTGCTAGAAGTGAGTCTGGGGAAGGGAATTAAGGGTATGAATACCAGGTTAGGATTATTGGGACCATTTTAGAGGTTGCCCACCACAGCGTTCAAGAACATCATTGACCTCCGAGCTGTATCACACAGTGCCTGTACAAGGAGGATGCCTGTCTCAAAAGCCCAGCTTCTATGGCAAGTGAAAGCTGTATGTACCATATGGTCGCTATATCGCTGTTTGTTCTGACTTCTAACACCAGAGATATTTAAGGAATAATCTTAAACTCATTTAAGGAATCTGTTCCTTTAGAAACTACATCCCTCCCTACAATGAGAAGGGTTGGAAATTATTAGGAAAAAGGCAAAATTAAATTGGATTCATTTTTTTTTTCCCTTTTAGGGCCAATTTTCTAATGGAGAAAAATCTCAAAGTAACTTCTGTAATTACTTAGAGAACAGGGAGTGTAGGGAGTAAGAAGATTTTTAAAAATCATTTTAGCATTTATAAGGATTTAAAAATATGTGCCTGGATTATACTCCTTTGCTTTACCTTTAAAAATTGAGTTAGATCTCATCTAGATAAAGTTTAGAAATGTAGCTTTATTATATTAAAAAGCAAAAGTAGTATGGTTTAAATTTATAAATTATACTTCAGGGTTGGGAGGTGGCTGCTTTTTGTTTTTGTTTTCTTTTTGAGGGATTTATTTGATTCCAGATTTTAAAGCCTTTAAAAAATGTTAAAGCTGGAGAATCCAGGCCATGATTGACCTTTCTTTGTAAAGGAAGGAAGCCCATCTTTCCTGGTACCTGAGTACCAGTTTTTTTTTCAGCTTGTGATAAAACCTAACTTTTGCAGTATTTCTTTTCTGTTTTAAATGCTACTACCTACTGGGTAAACTACTTTTTTTGCTTGATTTTTAAATGTTTAAATTATGTAACATGGAGCAGGCAAAATTACACCATCAAACTGTTTTGAAAAAATCCACAAAAAGAAACTTTTCTCCATGCATAGATTTTAATGTGTTGTTTTTCTTCACCCTGATATATTTTACTTGTCATCTTGCCAGTTGGTGGTATAGTTAACCTGCATTTCCAGATGTGTTTGACATAGGTGTCTCTGTTACAGGAATCTTACCCATCTTCTTCACCGATATGGTTTGTGGACTCTGATGACCCAAATCTGACATCAGTGCTGGAACGTCTAGAAGATACTAAGAGCAACAATTCGGTGAGAAAATAAGCCAACCTACTATTTTTTTCCCCCCTAAAGAGCGTTATATGTAAAGTGTTAAGAGGTAATATGATATAGAAAAGCCTGATTAATGATTATTTGATAATCTTAAAGGAGCTAAAGACCAGTTTTGTTTGTCTGTTTTTTGGCCTTCAAATTCTGTACTACTTGATATCTTTTTTATTCCCCATAGGTTAAACTTAATTTAGATGAGGAGTTAGGTGGTCTCTTTTCAGTGAATTCTGACTTTAAACCAACCAGACATTTTTGGTAGGGAACACTAGCCAAGGTGGAAGATAGAAAAAGAAAAAAGACTGAGGTGGATGTGAGGGGAAATAATGCTAGAATGACATCAGTGCTAGTGTTAGGGAATTGCTTTCTCTCTGAGAAGTCTGTAACTGCAGTAATAGTCATAGGTATACAAAGAGAATGCATTTTTTGTTTTTTGCTTTTTTTTAATATATGAAGAAATGTAACTTTCCATTTTACAAAAAAAATTTAAAAATCAGTTTTCTTTTATTATAAAACTAAGCGACTATTGTGAGAGCACTTAGTAAAATAAAGGGAAATAAGATTTCTGCCTGATATAACCACTGTTGACATGGTAGCTATTTTCTATCCGTATTTTTCCCTTGCTAGTAAAATACATGGACTCTAATAAATATGTTTAAAGAGTTGAGGTCATATTCTATATAGTTTTATATCCTTTTTTTAAAATTAACATGGAATGAAAGACTTGACTGCTATCTTCCTAACAGACATATTATAAATATGTCTGTTACCTCCGTAGTTTCATGTTAATTTATAAATTGAATGCAATTAATCCCAACAGTCTTATTTTGGGACTCTAAAGTTGGTTTTAAAGAGTAAATAATAAAAAAATAGTTGAAAAAACTAATGAGAGACTTGTCCAATAAGATATTAAATAAAAATATTATGTACTAGCACTGGACTGGACGTATAAAGACAACAGAAGTTTAAAAACACTCATGCAATTGAGAATTCAGAATAAGTTAAAATACTCAATAAGGAAAAGGTGGATTATTCTATAAATATCATTGGGAGAACTGACCATTTAGGGAAGACCACCTGCCTTGGTCTTCCCTGAGCTCTTACCTCAGATTTTTGTTGAAATAAGTTACAGGTGGTTTAAACACATCTATTCTTAAAATTAACAGCAGAAGAAATCAGTTTGAGGAGTATTTTAAGAGTAGAGGCTGGTCTGGAGAGCCATGAAGGTTAGAGGTAAAAATAAAAAGCTAGACAGATACAAGTTCATATTTCCAGCAGGGGAGTGACAGGACGGAAAGATAGCCCTCTTACTCCTTTTAGGAGAGGTTAACTCTAAAAAGATGTAAATAAATTTTGTAATAGTAGAAATGATTGGGTTATTTTTCAGTGTCTAAAATTTTTCATCAAAAAATGCTCACAAAATGAAATGACATAGGACATAAAATTGGGTCTCATTTTTTAAAAATTAATATATTTACATAAAAGAAAACCAAATTACCTTCTACTCTTATAGTCTCTGCCAGTTATTTCATAACCTAGTTTCTTGACAAAATAAGTTTTATTTCCTCACCTTTGCTTTACTTAATTCATTTTAATCTGGATTCTGCCTTCATTGTTGCACTAAAATTTTTTATGTTTAGTTGCCAAATCCAGGGAATCCTTTTTTAACCCTAAAATTGACCTCTCTGCAGCAGTTTGTTAGTGGTGATTGTTCCTTTGTTGAAACATTCCTTCATTTAACAAACATTTATTAAAGTCTACCAATCAAAAGCTGGTTAAATAAAAGCTGCTGTGTATAGTTTTATGATAGAGTATTATATTGTAGTTAAAAATAATGCAGCCAGTCTTTCCATAGAATGCATACAACTTTCGAAGTTATGCAAGTGAAAAGGCAAGGCATGGAATATTGTTTATAATCTGGCTCCTTTTGCAAACAGTGTTGTAAAAAAATAAAAAGATCTGTATCTGTGTGGGTTTATACGTACTTTTCCTGGGTGTGTACAGGAAACTGTTAATAGTAGAACAGAGAGAAGTATTTTTTTTTAATTGACTGGCTTCTATGCCAGGCTCTGTGATAAGTGGTGGGTTTAAGTCAAGTCCTATCCCTGTCCTCTGGGAACTGATAATCTTAGGAGAATTTCCCTCAGATTACTGTCTCCTATTTTTATCTCTTAATACCCTGCCTTGGTCTTCCCTGAGTTCTTGTTCCTTGGTCTGCCTCTTCTCATTCCATGCTTTCTCCGAGAAATCTCTTTTACTACTATTACTTAAATCATGGTCTGTATTCCAGGGATTTCTAAATCTTTATCTTTAGCTAAAATTTATCTCCTGAGTTTCAGACCCATCTATCTATCTATATATCCTGTAGATCCAGGGAATCTCACTTGGATGTGCCATGGCTGTTCAAAATGATTATATCTAAATTTAAACTTCCCTACCTTGTGGCACTCCAGCACCCCCATTGAGTTTCCCTTAGTAATTCTCTTTGTGATTGTGAGTGGGACAAGATGAAATAATGAAGCTTGTCACCCATGGCTGAACCGGGGAACTAAAAGTTCTTTTTTATGCCTGTATTTCCTCATACCTCCCTTCTCCAAACTACCTAGTAAGTTTCTAATACTTGTCCATCTACCTTCTAAATATTTCTTAAATCTTTTCCCACCGTCTTAGTTTCTTCCATCCTTCAAATGATTTTTTGGGGGAGTTGAAATTCCTGAAAGATGTACAACCCTATTTTTCTTGTTGCTTGGTATTACTACCACATTGCTGCCTCTCCCACAGCACTCTCTTAGCTCTTCCTTTGCCAAGGGTTGGAGTGTCTGGGTCTGTGTCCAGGTCACCCTTTCTCATCTTCATTATGTTCTTGAAACAAAACAGGGCTTATTGGAGGGGTAAATCCACAGTGCCTTTTAAGCTCTACGGTTTTTGTTTGTTTTTGTTTTTGTTTTCGTTTTATCCTAATCTCAGCTTTCCTAATTTCTGCTTGTTCCTTTGACAACTTTGGAAAGTCTTATTCTTTCTTTGTTGACCCATTCTAATCCTGTTTGTTTTCTAGTCCTTCATAAACCTGCTTTTTCATCTCTTTTCTTGGTCAGACATCCAGGAAACTGTTCCTGACCAGGTGAAGTAAGTTACTTTATTAGCTCTGGGTAAGGCCTAAGTATTGAACATTGTTCTTAAAGCATAATTCCTAAACGTGTACATTGAAAACAGTTTTTTTTATTTCAACAATGAAAAACATGTTCATAAACTTACCTTGCTTCTTTGCTTAAAGTTAATATGCTTACAAAACAATCTGGATGTAAAAATGGGAACTTAATGAGATACTACTTGCAGTTTTCCTAGTGCATTTCCCCCCCCTTTTTTTTTGACAGATGCTTAAGAACCTACTAAGTGCCAAGTGTTTTCACAGAAGGTTTCATTTAATCTTTACCTGTATAAGAAGTTTTTAATTTCCTTGTTTTACAGATGGGGACCTCAAACTCAGGGAATTAGGTGCTGTATCCAAGATCCTTTAGATTCCAAGTCTGTCTACTAGACCACATTTGCCTCTACTTTTAAATGAATATGACTGGAATGTATAATTTTATAACCCGTGTGTAACTACGTTGCCTCTGGGTTTGTTGTTGTTTTTTTTTGTTTTTTGTCGCCTCATTAATGTAAATGTATTCTTGTCTGAAGTCGTAAGTTTCTAAGAAAAGGAGTTAGCAACTGAAAATTCGACAATATCTGGAGCTCTCCTTCCTCAGCCTTTTTGTTGTTGTCATTCTGCTAGGTATTAGTTACAGGAATTGTACTCAAGCCATAGTAACTTTCTTATACTAGCAGCCCCTAAAAATATTTCTTAGAGACTGTTATTTTATCTGTAGGCTGTAATTGAGCAGTAACAAACTTTTTTCATTTCCTACTGGATTGGTTACAGTAGTCATAGCATTATTCATGTCTTCTAAGGGCTCTTTAACATAATGCTTATTTACTGAAATGTGTTTTGTAGCTTCGTCAGCAATTGAAGTGGTTGATATGTGAACTCTGCAGATTATATAACCTTCCTAAGCACCTGGATGTTGAGATGCTAGATCAACCAATACCCACGGGTCAGGTAAAGTAAAAATTCTCTAGTGTTCAAGAGCTAAAATAAATTGTCTCAAGCAGAAGTAAAACTAGGATGATTTTTCTTCTTATTCAACTTATTTAGAAGGTGTTGGATTGTTTGTTTTATTTTAGATACTAAAAATAACCTGTTTACTCTTTGGAGCTGCTGGTATTCACTGTGACAGGGAAACAACTGCCTCCCTCCCCACTACCACCTTTTTGTTGTTAACATTCCTGATTTCCATAACTGTTCTTTCAGTTGTTTGCCTTTGCTTATTCATTTACCTTCACCTGGAATGCCGTCTCCTTTTAAGCCTATCTGTGCTTCTTAAGGCTTAACCCAAATGTTATTTCCTCTAGCTGCAGAAGTGCCCACTAGTTTACTACCACCTCTAACTTTTCTAGATTTCCAGATTTAGGGCATAATTTACTGACTTTGTACTATAAATAAGGATTTAGTTCTTATACCATCTACCTTCCCACCCATCTCTCCTTCCTAAAACACCGTTATATTTAGTCATATGAATAATCACTGTTTATCATTAGGACTTTGTAGTGTAGAGTTTTCTATTTATAGAAATAGAGTATTCTATTTCTATTTCTTGTAGAGCTCTTTGTTTTGCAATGTCCTCCTTATAATAATAGTAATTCTTGGTTTATTCTGGGGTTCCTGGGTGGCTCAGTCAGTTAAGTATCTCCCAGGGTCCTGGGCTTGAGCCCAGTATCAGGCACCCTGCTCAGCGGGGAGCCTGCTTCTCTCTCTCTCTCTCTCTCTCTCTCTCTCTCTCCCCCTCTGCTGCTCTTCCTGCTTGTGCTCTCTCACTTTCGCTGTCAAATAAATAAATAAATAAAATCTTAAAAAAAAAAAAAAAAAAGTGATACTCTGGCCCTTTTCCACGAGCTCTTGGCTCTTCTAGAGCCTTTGGTTCTTTTGCACCAGTCTTGGCAGGTTGTTCTCTGGGCTGGCTGTGCAGCTGTCATCTTGAAACTTTTGTCTCCTCTGCTAGAGTGGGTCTATTGTTACCTGATCTCATGTCATCTTTCTTGCTTACCCTTTCTCATTTTGCCTGAGTACATCTTCAAGTAAAAATCTAGCATGAAGGAGTAGTACATTTTTTGAGTTCTAACATCTAAAAATATATGACCAGATCACTATAGGTTTGAATCTTGGTTCTGCTTATTAGCTGTATGACCTTGTGATAATTACCCAACCACTGTGTGCATCAATTTCTTCTTTTTAAAATGGGGGAAATAGTAGTACCTATATTTTTGTGGGGAGCTATGAAGATTAAATGAGTTAGTATATGTAAATAATTTAGAGCAGTGCATGGTTTATAGTAAATGCCCAATAAATGTTAACTGCTATTATATTTTACTGTTGCATTTGGTTGATAGTTAGGTTGAATATATAATTCTGGGTTAAAAATAATTTTCCCTCAGAATTTCAAAGACTGTTCTGCTATCTTCTAGCCAATGGTGTTGTTTAAGCCTGATGCCATTCTAAGTCTTACTCATCTGTGCGTGACTTGGGAAACTTTTAAGAGATTGTCTTGGTGTTCTCAAATATCACAATGGTGTATTTTTAGTTGTGGTTTTTTGTTTTTGTTTTTTCATTGTTGCTGGACACTCAGTATGGATATGTCTTTTCAAATGTGGGTTCCTTTACCTTTCTCCTTTGGTAAGTGTTCTTGTATTTTTTTCTGTGATAACGTCCTCCTTTCCATTTTGTTCACTTTTAGAATGCCTACTAATGGGATTTTAGACCTCTTTGCTTCAGTCTTTGTATCTTTTATATTATCTCTATATTCACTTTTTTAATTTCAAATTCTGAAAGTTTTTCCTTCAATTTTTTAAAATTTTATTTGGACAGCATAACTTTTTGGTTGTGTTTTATTTACTGCTGCTTAACCTCTTACCCCAAACTTAATTTATTCTATTTCTCACAATTGTGTGGGCTGATTAGGCTTAGCTGGACAGTTTTTTTCTGCTGACCTCACTGCACATTCGGATAGTGGCTGGGACTGGTGGTCATGACCTGAGCCGAAGGCAGACACTTAACGGACTGAGCCACCCAGGCATCCCTAAAGTCTAGGACAGTTTAAATAAAAATTCAGCTGGGTCCAATTTTGCCTCCCATGAGCTATCTGGAGATAATTTTGGTTGTCACAACTGACTGGGGGGAGTGCTATGGGTGTTTTGTGGGTAGAGGGGATGTTACTAAATGTCCTACATGACAAAGAATTATCTAGCCCAAAATATCAGTACTTCCAAGATTGAGAAACCATGGTTTAAATAAACATCTGAGCCTGATCTGTTTTTCTCTTTTTCTATATATTAGTCTTCATTTTTTCCATTCCTTTAGTCATTTTTAGTAATTTTAGATTCTAAAATCACTTCATCTGTACTTTTGAATCTATGGTTATGAAGCTCTTTTCATTTCTAAAGTTGTTTTCTTTACCATGATTACTTGTCAGAAGCTTGTCTATTTTATTATATTGGTCTTTTGAAAGAATCAGTCCTTTTATTTTTTTAAATCTAATTTTCTTTTTCATTTTTGTGTGTGTCTTAACTCTTTTTTCTTTTGTGTTTCTAGTTTATTGGACCACTGTGATTTAAATTGCTTTAACAAACATGTAAAGGTACACATTTTCTTCTGCGTGCTGTTTCACTTCATGGCATAGGTTTTAAGATTTAGTATATTTATTTTCTAAATAGTTTTTATTTTCTAAGTGATTTGATTCCATCTTTTGTTCATATTTGTTATATTTCAGAAGCAGTTGTATAGGTATAGAAAACATATAAGCATTAGCGTAATAGTTACAGTAAATACCTGGGAACTACCACCCAGCCCCGACCCAGGTGAAGAAACATACTCTTGCTAGTACTACAAACCTTCTGCACGCTCCTTCCAGATGATCATTCCCTTCTATGCTAATCTTTTCCTTTTCCCTAGTTTTTATCATAGATATCTGCATTTCTGAACAATATGATTTAGTATTAACTTTATAAGCTTCATATTGAGTCATACTATATGTGTGTTCTTTGTCTTTTGCTTAACATTGTGTGTTAAATTTATTCATATGTGTAGCTGTGGTTCTTTTTCATTGCTGTATTTATTCCATTCTTTGAACATACCATTACAGATTTATCCATTTGAGTTGATTGCAGTTTGCTGTTAGGATCAGTGTGGGGCGCCTACTTGGCACTGTTGGTTAAGCAGTCTGACTCTTGGTTTTGGCTCAGGTCGTGCTCTCAGGGTTGTGAGGTTGAGCCCCACGTCAGCCTCCGCACTCAGAGCAGAGTCAGCTTAAGATTCTCTCTTTCCCTCTCCCTCTGTTCCTCCCAGTTGTGCTTGCGCTCTCTCTCACTCCGTCTCTCAAAGAAATAAATGTCTCTAAAAAAAAAAAAAAGGAACAGTGTGCTACCATAATTATTCTTGTCCATATTTTGTGGGATACCTGTGTAAGCATTTTTCTGGGCACATACTTAGAAGTTGGATTACTGGAGCAATTTCTTCTTAAACCTAAGAGTTCTTTAGAAAAAGTTTTTAACATTCTCAGGTGGCCTTTGGGCTATTTTTAGTTTTTCACTATTTACAATATGGCCTGTAACTTCTCAGCTGAATTATCAACAATTGCTTAAACTTAACCGTTGGTGTTACTATGTCTTTGCTTATTGCTGTATCTTATATTCCATGGTTGCTTCCTACTCTGAAAATAGATCCCTCACTAACGTTCTCTATTTTTATTTTTAAAAAGGATTTCTGGGAATGTGTGGAGAGTGTTCCTTGAATACTCAGTGTCTGTTTTTATTATTCATTCAACCCCTATCCATCTGACTCTGTGCAAAGTACTCTATAGAGGTGCTGAGGATCCAGTAGCAAAGGAACAGATGTGGTGCCTGTCCCGATGGAACTAGACATAGATTTCTAAGTTCATAATTGAGTCTCTTCTAGGTTCTTTACACTTTTATCTTCCAGTACTTATTGTTACAGGTGAAAAGCCTGATGTCTGGTTCTTCTTTTCCTATATATTTGTTTTCTTTCTGGAAGTTGGTATGGTTTTTTCTTTAACTGTGAAGTATAGGGTTTTACTCTTCGGTATTCCTTTGCGGCATTCAGAGCCACTTAATATTCTGAAGTCTTTTTTTAGTTTGACAACCTTTGTCTCTTATTTCTTTCCCTCAGTCTTATGGGTAAATAGCAGATGAATATTAGTTCTGGGTATTTCTATCTCCCATTAACCGTAACTCTTCTATTTCAGTACCCCTTCCTCTCCCCACCCCCTCTCTCCCTTTTTCTCCACATTCTAAGGGAATGTCACAGTTTGGTCATCTTCTTAATCATAAATGTTTTGTTGATTCAAATCCATTGTGCTCTCTGGTCCTTCTACTAAGTGTTTTTTTCCTCTATCTTTTTTTTTTTGAGGAGGAAATCTTTTTTATTTCCCAGAACTGTCTTTTCCTTTGCATGGTTATCTTTTTTATATTTTGTGGATACAGTATCTTCTCAAGTACTGCTAAGGATTCCAATTATATTTTTTTTTGTTTTATTCATTAATAATGCTTCAGGTCACTTGTTCTGTTTGTTTGACTTGGTGCCTTTTTTCCAGAGTGCCGGTTTTCTTCAAATGTCTGGTGATACTTGGTCATCTGCTCATTTATAGATGAGGTGTACCATTGATCACATTGTCAGTGGTTGATGTGAGTGCCCTCAGTAATTGTCACTCTTCTCTGCCTGGTTTGTACACCTGTGCTCTGGCTATGGCTTGTGAATGGAGAGGTACTAGCAGGCAGACTTTCCAGCTCCTGAGTTCAAGGAAGAGATGAGTGAGTTAGATTTTGCTGCTGTGTTGAGTTATATTTTTAAAAATGTCTTTTCTTTCTGGTTCTGACACCTATACTAAGAGGCCATCAAGTTAGGCCTCCTATGTAAGAAAGTGATCCTTACCAGCTGTAGTTGGAATAAATACAGCAAGTATTTCTAGAAGGAAAAAAAATCCTACTAACTTTATGCATTGTGTTGTGAACTCTGCTCTGGTTCAGAAAACTTGTCTTTTTGAACTCTGCCAAAACTAGGTATGAAGTCCTTTCCTAAAACCCCATCAGCATATTTGTGAATGAGTGGTAAATTGTAGAGAAGTATTCTGTGGTAAATGACATGTTGTACAAAAGAAAAATGGCTCTTTAGTGAAATGGTGATCATTTTACAATTTTGTAGTTTTGTGAAACATCTACTCCTTTATGACACATTTTACCTTTTAAAATGTAAGGAATTTATGGAAAGATTTAGGCTTTTCAAAGTTAAAAAGGTAGATATTTTAAGGAACCTATGGTTCGGGATATTTGTTTTAATGAAAGAAGCCATTGATTGACCTTATATACATAGCCATAGATATAAAATGTTTTCTTATTTTAAATTAGAATATTTTAAATTTTTTTCCAGTTTTGCTTTATATTGGACTAATTGCTGTTTATTCTCAAGGCATCTATCAAGTTGAATTGTTCAAAAAAAATTTTTTTTAAAGCTGATATTGTCACATCAAACCTGGATTTAAAAGTAAATATTCAACTTTAATAAATTCTGTTAGTAGAACTATAGTGACAGATGACTGATAGTTTGTCCCTAAAGTCTTCTAATGTCCTCAGTGTGTGCTTATTCTGTGCAGCTCTAGCAAATTGTTTTTGTTTTTCAGAATGGGACCACAGAAGAAGTGACTTCAGAAGAGGAGGAAGAGGAAGAGATGGCTGAAGTAGGTATTTTATGTAAGAATCATGTTTTATAAATACCGTATCTTCATTTTTGAATATTTTTGAATCTCCTTTATAAACCAGTGTTAATGTGGAATAATGAAAACCCTATTGCATTTGAAATTGAATATAATTTCTAAAATCTGGCTTTAGTTTTAATTAATGATGTTTTTGAGCAAAATGTTTGATTTCCTAGAAAATCTCTTAACATTTAGCATTAAAATTATATTTACATTTAATAGTAATCAATACTTAACCCATATTTGGTTATTTTTAAGAAGAGGAACTACTAAGTTTCAAAAATTCTGAATTTAAATAAAAGGAGAATTTGAGAACATTTCAGGGACTACTCACTAGAAGTAATGAAGCTATCTCATGTTGAAAAACCATCTAAGAATGTGGTAGGGCAGATTCTAAGACCTTGACCTTAGGCCAGTTTAGTTAACAGGCACCGATAAAATTTTAGAGGTTTTCAGACTCTGAAGCTTTGTGTTTAAATTCTGTATTTCTTCATTGACCATGTAAAAGGTATTTGAGTTCCACAGTCTTGATTTTAAAACCTTACTGGTTTGGATCTTAGAATTAATTCAGGTTATTACCTTATTTTCTTGATGTGCAAAATCTTAAATCTAAATACACTTCTTAGAATGCCTTAAAACTAAAGAAGTAGTTGTGGTTTGTTTTGTGAGTCTGGGAGCAAAATGATTTTTTTTTTTTTTTTTAGATTTTATTTATTTATTTTACAGAATGAGAGAGACCACAAGCAGGGGGGGAGTGGTACAGGGAGAGGGAGAAGCAGGCTCCCCACCAAGCAGGGAGCCCGATACAGGGCTCGATCCCAGGACCCTGAAATCATGACTGGAGCCTAAGGCAGACGCCTAACTGACTAAGCCACCCATTTGCCTCCAAGATTTTTCCTTTGCAAGTTAATATAAAGAAGGGACAGCAACATTTAGGGAAATCTAGAAAGGTAGGATCCTGGATTTAAGAGGTGTCAGATTAAGATAGGAGAAAATATAATCTAGGTAACTAAAATAATGGTAAAAAAGACACAGAGCAAGCTTTGGGCATGGTGTGTTTAGGTGCATTGGAGATTGACGTGTTGGAGTCATGGAAAGCAAGGTTGACTAGAAAAGCAGATGGCTTAAAGTCTTGAATTAGAGACAAATATGTTTATATTTGGTGTGATTGTTGAGAAAAAGGCCTTGAGCAGAGAATAGTGTGCTGAGAATGTTGTTTTATAAAGATAATCTGCACAGAACAGAATTCATCATTAATACTCAAGTGGAGAAGATTTTTGGATAGGAATGTGGCTGAGTTTGAAGGTGGAGGAGGAAGAGGAGATCCAGACTAAGGACATTTCTGAAGAAAATAAGTGTGGGATGGAACATTGGGGCTGCAAGGTACAAATCAGGGGAGGGAGGTCCATGAGAGTCATGGACAGGGTCTGAGTAAGAAAGGAATGTAATAGGGGTTGAGATGAGAGTCTAAAGAAAAAGACCATTGGGTCTGGATGGAAGTGGTTTTTAAACTGGTCTACAAATCACAGTGAATTAGTTTCCTTAAAAAAATGGAGATAGTAATTATCAACTACTCCTTTAGAGATTTTGATGATTGAAGTAAAGAGAAGTTAAGATAATAGAAAAAGTTTAGGATTTTAAAAGTTCTGCATAGATTTGTTTGAACAGGAGTAGATGATATGGAAAAGGAGGAAGGAGAATGATGTAGTGATTAAAGATGTTAACCAAGGGCTGCTATTCAAATTGAGATTCTATATATTCGGTTTTGTATTCTTTGTTTTTCATTGCATTATTTTTTCCATTTAATACATTTTATTTAACTTAATATATTTAAATTGTCATTTCAACATGTGATATAAAACAAAATTATGAGCCCTTCATATTTTTTCTCACTAAGTCTTCCAAATCGGGTGTGGACTGTACATTTACTGCACATCTGAGTTCAGATTAGCCACATTCCAAGTGCTCCACAGCTGCAAGAAACAAGGGTCTGCCCTGCTGGACAGCACAGCTCTAGCTAGTATAGGCCCTGTGGTCGCCCAGGGGCACCCAGCCCACAGCTCAACCCAGGGTTGTGGTGGGGTCCCCCCCCCGGTGCATTCTCAGGTTTGGGTTTGGGGCTGCTGCATTGCCTAACCCCCAGGCAGCAGCCAGAAACAGCTGAGACCCAGTTGAGCACAGAACCTGGCGCCCAAAGCGGCCAACTTTGTCCACTTCACCGTGTTACCATCCTCACCACACTTTTGTTTCATTATTGATGCAGAAGAAACAATTATGTTATGTTGGCATTTTAATGGTCTTCTAATATTCCATGGAACTGAGTTACCTGCTCTGGGTTTTTGTTTTGTTTTGTTTTTAATATTTATCTGAGACAGAGAGAGCCTGAGCAAGTGCAAGTGCGAGCGGGAGAGAGGGGCGGATGGGAGAGGGAGAGAATCTCAAGCAGACTCCACACTGAGCGGAGAGCCTGCCACTGGGTTCCATGACCTGACCTGAGCTGAGAGTCGGATGCTTAACCGACTGAGCCACCCAAGACCCCCCTGCTCTGGCATTTTTGCGCATGCAGTTTTGTGGGGGGTTTGTGGCTATAAAGGTTAAGTAGGCATCTTTATCCCCAAGTCTGTGTTCACATTTTAAATTAGTTCCTTACAATAGATTTCTAGAAGTCGAGTTACTGGAACAAAGTATAAATAAGGTTCTTCTTTATACCTAATGCTAAACTGTTTCAAAAGTTCCTCTTAATAAGAGACTTTTTTGGTAATAGTTACGACTTTACAAATCTATTAAGTATGCTTTACTCAGTTTGTAGCTTTTAAACAAAATGTAAGATCTAAAAGGAGGGAACCTGAACTGAATGTGAAGGCTTTTTTCCCTTCCCCATTCTCTGTTCCCTGTTGAATCAAGAATAATTTAACTTTTGCATAAGTTTCAATAAGCTAATATTTTTCGTGTAGGATATAGAAGACTTGGATCACTATGAGATGAAGGAAGAAGAGCCTGTTAGTGGAAAAAAGTCAGAGGATGAAGGAATCGAAAAAGAAAACTTGGCAATACTAGAGAAAATTAGGAAGACTCAAAGGCAAGACCATCTCAATGTAAGTCTGTGCCAATATCTAGAACCTGGACTTTTGGGGTTGAGTAATTATAGGTAATAATATAAAACTGGGCAAGTCATTAAGAGACCAGTCTAGGCTGCTCTCCTCCACCCTTGCCTGTGTTGTGCATTCAGCCATTTGTTGCCCTAGTGGGTTGTTGTTGTTGTTGTTGAAGTGTCTCATCTGTTGGTAGCTTTCTACCATGCTCATCTGCTTTTTACGTGCTGGAATTAACCTGCTGTTCACTGTATACACACCTCCTTTCCAGACTGTATCGTTTATCCTTCTCCTATGAGATCTGTATATTTAAATTTAGTGTCTTCTACAAAGTACAGTTTAAATTCTCCTCCACCTCTAACCAAAACAAAAGTATTTTTTTCTTTTGACTTAACATCACTTTTATATGAAGTGGCATGGGGCATGAAATGAATGCTGAGTCTGGTAATAAACACAGCTGTGTGGCTTGAGTTTCCTCAACACGAAAATATGGATAATATATTATCCTTTTGGATGATTGCTGAAAAGGATAAATGAGAATGATGTATATAAAATGCCCAAAGTAGGGGCATTTTTGTTTCAACACTTCCTTCTTATTTCCTACCTTGTATTAGAGCTCTTTATCAAACTCGTGACATTTGAGGACCTTTGTCTTGGGTATAGGTTCTCAAAAACCAGGAATGAATTATTATGTAGGGAGATGCCAGGTGTTGTAAGCAGATAGATTACTCTCTCCTTCAGTCCAACTGTATTAATTTAATTGGCAAAACTTTTTTAGAGAGCAAAGAAATTTAGCTCTGCCCTTATCTTGATTATTTTAAAAAAAAGTTTGTAGCATTTAAATTAATGATTACTATACTTTCTATCTCTTGTGACTGCTTTCTGTTTGGGTATTATAGTCAAAACGAATACAAATTATTGAATGTTTTCACATGAGGGACACTAAGTACTTTAAACTTTACATACCTTCCCCTTCAACTTTTATAGCCACTTTATAAAATATTGTTCCTATTTGTAGGTGTGAAACTAGGATTTAAACCAGTTAAGTAATGTACTCAAGGTCACAAAGCTAGGAAGTAATAGCTTTGTGAACATGATTGCCACCCATTCCCCAAAGTGTAGTGCAGCCATTAACATTTTGAATTTTACATGATCAGTTCTTTTTTTTAATTGAGGAATTCTAAATGTTTTTGTCTTATGAGAAATAGTTGGCATTCATATTCAGTCTTAGAATAAGACATTGGTGCATTTTCATTTTTAGAGAAATCCCAACATTGAAAAGAACTGAAACTAGTTGCATGCAGGTGAACATGTTATTTCTCAGTTTCTTAATATGTAAAGTATACCTTCAGTATAACATTCTTCCTTATAGTCTGACTAATGAAACTCCTGTTTTAGTTGATAGTGTAAAATGGTTAAGGGCCATCTAGTATTTTCAAAAATTGATGGTGATGCTATATAGTTATAAGAATAGCTAAAATTTTTTTTAAAAAAATTGAAGAATGGCCAAAATCAGGAACACTGACAACACCAAATGCTGACGAGGATGTGAAGCAATAGAAATTCTCACTCCTTGCTCATGGGAATGCAAAATGGTAGAGCCACTTTTGAAGACAGTCTGGCAGATTCTTAGAAAACTGAACATAATTTTTACCATGTATTCCAGCAGTTGTACTCTTTGGTATACCCAAATGAATTGAAGACTTATGTCCAAACACCTGCATGCAGATGTTTATAGCAACTTTATTCATAATTGTGAAAACTTGGAAGGAACCAGGGTATCCCTTCAGTAGGTGAACAGATAAACTGTGGCATATCCCGACAACATGGAATATTATTCCCTGCTAAAAAAGAAGAAGTGAGCTATCAAACCATGAAAAGACACAAGAACCTTAAATCTATATTACTAAGTGAAAGAAGCCACTCTGGTGAAAAAGCTACACAACTGTATGTTTCCAACTATATGACTTCCTGGAAAAGTCAAAACCAAGGAGACAGCAAAAAGATCAGTGCTTGCGAGAGGTGGGGTGGAGGGATAAATACATGGAGCACAGAGGATTTTTAGGGCAGTGAAAATACTCTGTATGATACTATGATGATGGGTATGTGTCGTTAGGCATTTTCCAGACCCATTTAGTGTACAGCACCAAAGGTGAACCTTAGGGTAGTTTATGGATTTCACTGGTAATGATGTGTCAGTGTAGGTTTATCGGTTTAGAAAATGTACCTTCTGGTGAGGGATATTGGTAATGAGAGAGACTGTGTGTTGTGGGAGCAGTTATATGGGAAATCTCTGTACCTTTCTCTCAACTTTTCTGTGAACCTAATAATGCTCTAAAAAATAAAATCCTAAAGAAAAAAATTAACAGTTTAAAAAAAATCATTGGAGTTTGAAATAGGTTTATACTAAGTTCTAGGCTATTGCAGGAACCATGGTAATCTAGACATGTTGGTTAGACTTTTTTTTTTTTCCAGATGATAAGAAACAGTAAATGAGCCAGACTTGTCCCCCATTTTATATTTCTATTGAAACTTCATAATCCTCAGTTTAATTAAACTTTTGATTTTTTTTTTTAATGTTGAGTTGTGATCTGTTTTTATAATCTCATTGTAAACTTTCATTTCAGGTTTATATACCTGAAATCTTCAGTTATTTGACTCCGTAGATCCTGGTAAACAGCAATTTTTATGTTGCAGGGTGCAGTATCTGGGTCTGTGCAAGCTTCAGATAGACTTATGAAAGAGCTCAGGGACATATACAGATCACAGAGTTATAAAGCAGGTAAGGACCTCTGGATCTCTACTCTATTGTCCTTATGCTGTTTTCAATTTTCAGTAAACTTCAGTTCTTATGATATTACTGGATAGAAACAGAAATGGTTATTAACTTTATTTTAGGGATGTGAAATGCAGATTTAATCAAGTTATTAATAGATGTGGAAGGTAAAATAGGATGAGTTTACTTGCTCTTTGGGTTCTTGAAAGTTGTTTTTATGGATACCTCATAATTTTTTTGTCTTCTTGCTGACTGGGATTAACTCATATGATTTTTAGCTTCTGGGAAAAGTATGAGTAATATCTGCTTTGGAAAGTAAATAAGATACATATGTTATTGTATGAACAAAGAACTGTTGCTGAGTTGATTTTTATGATTTTTCCTTATTTTTTTGAAAACAATCAACTTTTATTGTATAGGTAGTTATGGTATCACTTTAAAAATAGGTGGGTTTTTTTAATTCATTTCATAGTTTGACTTTGAGTGTTCTTTCTTGCCCAATAAGACTTAAATATTGTGGAACCTCTCTAATTGAAGTAAAATTCCCTTCGGTTGTCAGAGATTCTAACTGTATTAAAATAAGGGAAAGAGCCAAATTTTAATATGTTTGAAAAGGTAGCTTTGTGATCCATTCAGTAATTCTCAGAGTGACCAAATCTAAATCATTAGAGCTTACTTAGTAAAAACAAAAAGCAAAAAAAAATTTCTGCTTTAGAATGCAAGGTAAGCCAAATTTGATTCTGAGTTATTAGAAGTTTTGGCATCCTGTTTTTCTTATTAGAAGTCTAAAAGTTTATCTGTAGAAACTTAAGTGCAGTTAAGTATTTAAATATGGGTTTACTTTTAAATGTTAAATAATTACTTGTTTGTTATAGCATTATTTGTAGTAGCAAAAAATTAAAAATTAATCAGAGGGTTGAATTGATTAAATTATGGTATATCCATAAAATAAGTTTCCATAGAGTTATTAAAAAGATTGACAATAGACTTCTTATATACTAAATTGGAAAGATGCCCTGGAAAGTTGAAGAAAGATTATACAACTATGTAGAGGGATTCCATTTTTATAGAAATATTTGCATGTGCATAAAAGAAGAGTCTTAAGGTACATATGATTTTGCATAATTTTTCCCCTCCCACTCACAGTCAGACAGTTTCTCGACTCATTGAAGAATCGTCCTCATTGATGGCTTTAATGATCATGTTAAGAGCCTAAGCTACTCAGCTCCAGTGGCAAAATATTTATAATATAGCTTAGTTGTTCTGTGTTTTAATAGCAAAGTTTCTAGATTTTGATGGTTATTTAGTGTGTTCATTTACACTGAAGTAGTAGTTATAAGATCAAATAAAGAGTAACCTAGAGGCGCCTGGGCGGCTCAGTTGGTTAAACATCCGACACTTGATTTTGGCTCAGATCATGATCTCAGGGTCATGGGATAGAGTCCCACATCAGGCTCCACACCCAGCTTGGGATCTTCTCTCTCTCCCTCTGCCCTTACCTCCACCTCTCTCTTTAAAAAAAAAAAAATAAAAAGTAACCTACGTGTTTTATATCTTTACAGGGATTTATTCGGTAGAACTCATAAATGACAGTTTATATGACTGGCATGTTAAACTGCAGAAGTAAGTGACTCTTACATGCTAACTCAGTCTTTGTAATGATAGACTATCACAACAGAAATTTTTCCCCCTAATTTGATACTTTGTATGCTATGGTTTTTACTTAGAACTTTAGACTGTGTTTCTATAGAAATAGTTCTCAGGTTGTTAAAATAAGCTGTTTCTTGGGCTTAAATAAGTAAACTCAGAAAGAGGAAGAAGAAAAAGAAGGACCAGCTGTGGGATAAAGTGTTTCATGGAGTTAGTGAGGTAATTGGGAAGTATAGAAACAAAAGTGTGTTTAATAACCTGATTGACCATGATAACCAGTTTATATTTGGAATGAGGAATTTGAGTAGGACCTCAATATGTAGAACAGTTGTAGACAGATTCAGATTTTGTTAGTGATTTCACTTTTTCTGGTCTTGTCTGTGATAAATTTCTCTCCTTGAACCCCTTGGCTAGTAATACAATTTTAGAGAGGCAGATTAATTTTTTTTTATTTCTTGAGAAAATTTATATACATATGACTTCCCTAGGATGACTGTTAACTTTGAATCTCCTTATGGGAATGGATTTAGAATACTGTGACCTTTTTGGACATTTAATCCCAAGGAGTCCGAGGCTATTGCAATTTATTTTTCCAGGGACCATAGAGCAGTTTTATGTTTGAAACTTACCCGAGGGGCTCTGCTTTAGCTCTTGAACTGGTTCATTTTTGTGGTTACTAAGAAAAAAATCTCTTGGTTTTTATTTGAATTGTTTTTTGTTTTGTAATTCTTAGGGTTGATCCTGATAGTCCTTTGCACAGTGATCTTCAGATCTTAAAAGAAAAAGAAGGCATAGAATATATTTTGCTTAACTTCTCTTTTAAGGTAAGAAAATGTTAAGGGGACTCCGTATGCTTCTAATGGGAATGTATATTTTTATAATTGCTTTGGAAAACAATTTGGTATTACTTGTTAAAGTAGAAGGTATTCCCTGTGGTTCAAGAATTCTCATAGTATATACCCCACAGGAAATTAGTACTTAGGTACACCAGGAGACCTATACAACACTGTTCAGAGCTGTGTTGTTTATAATAACGCCAAACAGGAAATAACCCAAGTGTCCGTTTGAGTAGAATGGAGAATTGTGTTATTCATATTAAAAGAAAAATGTGCAAAATGTGGGTGAATCTTAAACACAATGTTGAGCAAAAGAAACCAGACCCCAAAACATGTTTTGTACAATTTCATTTATATAGAGCTCAAAAATAGGTAAAACTAAATTATATTGTTTATTAGGGCGTGCATCTGCATCTCATTGGAGGCAGTATCATCAGTGGGGTGAAGATTCCTTAGAGTGAAAAAAAAATCTTAGGTATTATAATGGTCTGTGACCCTTTAAGTTAAGGGACCACATTATATAAACAACAAAGTATATCTGTTTTGGGGGATAGATTAAAAAAATTTTTTTCTAAAATATTTCTAAAAAGCTTTCTTAGTGGAGCAAAAATGAAAAGGCTGAGAAACACAGATTTATGGATTCAAACTTGGGTAATTACTTTCAAGGAAAGCAAAGATGTGGTTACCATACAGTTGAGGATAGGGAGTACATCTAGGTGAGAGGGAGGGAGTTGTGAGCTGTGAAAGGGACATCTGGGGATTTCTTGGAAGCTGGCTCTGTCTGATTCTTGACCAGGGTGCTGGTTACATGGATGCATATTTTATAATAGATAATGGTGTACCTTTATATTTTATGTACTTTTCTGAATTTATAGGTTATATTTAATAGTTTTTTTAATGTTAAGAATAAAGGTTGAAAAATAGCAATGGAATTTAGATAAAATGTAATGATTTAATATAGAATATGGATAAATGTAGTCCTTTTAAATCTTTTGTTTCAAAAAAACTAGGAAGTGGTTCTAAGGAGTTATATTTGAATTATATGGAGCTTCTTTTTGCTATGTTTATGTAACAATTTTCTTACAGATAGGTATATTTTTTCCATTTCAGTTAGGTAGACTTCAGTGCATTAGGGACTCTGGAAGGCTTTTTTTTTTTTTTTAAAGATTTTTTTATTTATTCATTTGAGACACACAGATACAGAGAGAGAGAGAGAGCATGAGCAGGGAAAGAGGCAAAGGGAGAGGGAGAAGCAGGCTCCCCGCTGAGCCAGGAGCCCGATGTGGGGCTCGATCCCAGGACCCTGGGATCATGACCTGAGCCAAAAGCAGATGCTTAACCATCTGAGCTGCCCAGGTGCCCCTATGGAAGGCTTGAGGACATGGAGGCATCTAAAATATAATCCCTGTTCTTCAAGAGCCTGCAGTCTTTCTAGGGGAGAAATCTGAGATGAAGGCTATACTGCTTCGGAGACCATGACGAAGAGTTTGGGATCTTAACCTTTATACAGTAAAGAGCCAGTAGAGGTTTTTAGGTAGAGGCATGATTCATCTTTTAGGCTTTTTATTATCTTTTTTTTAAACAATTATGTCTTCAGTATCAGAATAGGGTTTGGATAAGATAGAGTAGATTTCTGAGAGACTAGTTGGGGGCTTTGATTTTAATCTGGGCAAGGAGTAATGACGGATGATGGTGGTAGGAATAGATGAGAGTAGACGGATATGGGGGGGTTTGAAGGAAGAAAGCAAAGACATGAAAGAATACTTTATACTCACAAAAAGACTATAATTTTCTGAAAGCTTTTTACTTAGCTTTTGTGTGTGTATATTTTTGTTTGGGGAGATATCCTTATTTATGATTGAACTTTCCTCAGATAACTCAAATGTCAAATGTCTGTATTTGCCCTCAATTTTGTTATTATAGAAACTTTTGTGGTTGTCAGTTGTGTTGTCTTCCTAGAGAGAGAGTCTGGTATATATTTACTGAAGTTGCTAATGTGACTGCATTTTTACTGATTCATATGGTGAAAAAATAAACCAGGATAGTAGGCTTTTTTTTTTTTTTTAATATACAGAATGTTTTAACCTGAACGATCTAAACATTTTTATTAAATCATATGCCCCTGCAATACCAAGCTTAAGATATAGAACCTTACACCTGAAACTGTTGTCAATTGTGTCAGTTATACTCAAAAAAAATTAGAGTCTATTTCTTTTTTTTTAATCAGGACCTTTGAAAGCCCCCTGTGTGTCCCTTTCCTCGCACTTTCCTCTCAAGAGTTATTTTTAAGGGAATATGAAATCTTGACCAGGAAACTGAAAGACCTGTGGCTGCACTTAATGTTTTCATGGTATTTTCCTACTCTAGGGAGAACTTCAGGGAGGGGATGATCTGGGAGGTAAATGGCTGAAATCCTGTTGCATTTGCCCGTCTGGACCATAACTCCTGATACCAAAAAAGAAGGGCTGTTGCTAGGGCTGGAGTCATTCTTAAGAGGGCTGGGAAGAATGTGATTGCTCTGAACTAAGTGACCTTGGCAAACTGAACTACCAAGTTATTAAGTATCAGGATTTACAGAATTGGGGGGTAGCAGGTATGACTCAGAAAGAATGATTTATGGGAAGGAGCATGAACAATATTTATGGCCTCAGATGTCCATGGTGACAACGTGAAAGTCATGATTAATAAAATGGAACTTGAGATATAATATAACACAAGGTTGGGGATGGGGCAGGGGGGAATGGGGACCTATTAGATTCATCAGCAGCTTGGCAGTCATGTTATGCTATGCTCTTAAGGAAGTGGTGGTCTAGTTTTTCAAGCCGTATCTGAATTACTGAGCTGAATTCTGAGGTGTAGTACTTTAGGAAGGGTTTATTTAGATAAATTTGAGTTCATTTGAAAAGTAGTGGAAAGGATTTGAAAGAGATTTCCATGTCCTAAGATAGCTGGTTAAATTGTAGATTTAGAGAGAAGAACACGGGTTCATGAGAGCTTGTTCTCAACTATTTAAAGGGCTGTGTATGTGGAGGGTTTCATTTTTGTTTTTGATTAACACAAAACATGACATTAAAACTGGTAAGTCAAACTTTAAAGAGGTGATTTTCAACTCAGTATAAGGAAGTTATAACTATGTAGAGCCATTCAATGAGTTTTTCAAGAATAGAATGTTCTTCATCATTAAAATTATCTTGAGAGGCCAAGATGTTGAATTGAAAATTTCATGATATCCTTATAAACCTTGAGATTCTCAGTTTCTGAGTCAGTATACCAAGATAACTCAAATGTCTATTTTAACAGTCATCCTCGGCCTCCCCAGTATAACCCTTTAAGGACTCTTATTTCTGTAAAATATTGATTATGAGTTCATGGTGCAGTTTATGGAATAGAGTCCTAGGTTTTGATGGGGAGGAGTTACTCTGAAGAATTACTTAAAATGAAGGTAATTCTCCCTGTCATATAATCAATTAAAAAAGGTTTATCATTTGGGATCACATATTTAAAGATCTAAAGAGTAGGAGATTAAATGAAGTACTTTACTAAGCTTTGCATCTATGCCCTTCATTATATCTGTTAAGTAGCTCACCTTTTATCTACAATTTATTTGGAAGTAGATGATAATAATTGTCATTAAGTTGGCATCTTGTGTGGGAAAATCTGTTTCCAGGACTGAGAATTTGAAAAAGGGAATTGTACTTGGTAGCCTGAGAATTAGCTGAGGTTTCTTTTCTCTTCTCTTCATATATTTTTATCAAGTCTGACGATCTTTGTTTTTTAAATAGAGCAGTTAGTTTTACTTGCATTTAATATTATTGACATTTGGGCTTCAGTCTCCCATCTCCTAAGTGCCTTTTATTTGTCCTTGTTATTCCATGTTCCTTTTTCTCATTCTTTGGATTTTTTTTTTTAATTGCTCCAGTTTCTCACCTCTTTTAGCTTAGTACTTACGTGTTCTCTTACTCTTCTTTACTGCCTAACAGTTACAGTGTATGTCCTTGTCAAAGTCTAACATAAATTTAATTTATAATTTACGTTTTCCTCATCAATTCAAAGACTTAGAACGTGGATTCCCTGCCAAATATGTGCTTTCATGCATTTTCTGTACTTACCTAGAAGCTATACATCATTGTTCTTTAATTTAGTCAATATTCATTCATAACTGCATATTTGCTCTTTTCATGGTTTTTATTCTCTGTATTTCCATCTAGGATCCTGTTTCTCCTGCCTGAAGAATATCCTTTATTTCCTTTAGCTTGGGTCTCCTGACAAGAAAATAACCTTATTGTGAATTTATTTTTTGGAAAATATTTGTATTGGGTATAGATTTTTAGGTTAGAAATTCCTTTCAGCAACTCAAAAACTTATTCCCTCATTGGAGGTTCCATTGTTTCTGTTGAAATACTCATAGTGCTTAAATCTTGTGAAGTCTTTCAATTTTGGAAAATTCTCAGTCTCTCCAAATATTGCTTCGGTCCCGTTCTCTCATGTCCTTCTAGGACTCTACATATGATAAGCCTTTCCAATACATTCCCCTGTGTCTTGTTATTTTCTGCATTTTTCTACCTTTTTCTCTCTCTTGGCTTCATTCTGGATGTGTTTTTTGGCCTGTTTTCCTGTATACTGAATTTCTCTTCCACTAAGTCTCTACTTGTGTTTAAATTCATCTGTTATTGATTTCAGTTATTGTATTTCTAAGTTTCAGAATTTCTGTGATTCATTTTTATAATTTTAGTCGTTTGCCAGGGTTTTCAATCTTTTCTTTCCTTGTACATACTCAGCATGGTTATTTTAAAAGCTATGTCTGGAAACTCTATTTATTGTGTCATTTGCTTCTCATTTCCTGGACCTGTTTAAGTCTTGTGTAACTGTTTTTAGTAATAGACATTATAAATGAAAAATTAGCTAATTTTGGAAGCCTTGGATGTTATTCTTCTCCAGAGAGGGTTTACATTTGCCCCTGTCTGGCTTGGGCATTAGCAGCCCAGGATCCTGAATCCATTAGGGATTTAGGTGATGTAAAACTGGACTTCATTCAGGGTGCCTGGGTGGCTCAGGTGTTAAGCGTCTGCCTTCGGCTCAGGTCATGATCCCAGGGTCCTGGGATTGAGCCCCACATTGGGCTCCCTGCTCAGCGGGAAGCCTGCTTCTCCCTCTCCCACTCCCCCTGCTTGTGTTCCCTCGCTTGCTGTCTCTCTCTCTGTCAAAATAAATAAATAAAATCTTTAAAAAAACAAAACCCCCAAAAACTGGACTTCATTCCTTGTCAGTTAGGGCAATTTGTCATTTGTCCTTCAGGGTCCCAACCTAAAGTGTGGGAGACTTGTCAAGGCCTCTCCTTGGTGGACCCCAGCTCCAATTTTTACCTCCCCAGCCCTGTGAGTGTGAGTCTGAGTTCTGCTGAGCTTCTTGACCTCTTATCTTCCTCTTCTGTAATTGAAAGAAAACCCAAGGTGGGAGGTGGGGTTGGGGGGGCGCGGAGGGAGGAAACGCCCCACTCTCCCGGGTTCCCTTTTTTTCCTGATCTTAGCTCTGTGATTGTTAAATTTTATCCACCTCTTCTAGTTCTCAACCAGAGGATTGATCTAAGTTACCTAGTCTATCATTATTGGAGTGGTTCCTTTATATAGCTCTATTGAAAGTGGAACCCCTTCATATTTTTCATAACTTTACCAAAACACTGTTCTGTTTGGCCGGCTGTGATCTTTTTTTTTTTTTTTTTTTTGCTGTGGTTTTTACTTCATTTTATTTTTGGTACTGTTTCTACTTTTATGACCCTCATTACCAGAAAATAAACGCACACATTCTTTATTCGAAATAATACCGTATTAAGGATTTTCTTAAAATTAATTAAACTTGGGGCACCTGGGTGGCTCAGTCATTAAGCGTCTGCCTTCAGCTCAGGTCATGATCCCAGGGTCCTGGGATCGAGCCCCGCATCGGGCTCCCTGCTCCACGGGAGGCCTGTTTCTCCCTCTTCCACTCCCCCTGCTTGTGTTCCCTCTCTCTGTGTGTCTCTCTCTGTCAAATAAAATCTTAAAAAAAAAAAAAATTAATTAAACTTGCCCATTTGCATTTTAGGATAACTTTCCATTTGATCCTCCGTTTGTTCGAGTGGTGTTACCTGTTCTCTCGGGAGGGTAAGTTTAAGTAACTATTTTCTTTGATAGTATGTATAAGAATCGTTTGGAGGGCTAGTTAAGTGCTAGGAGGCCTAGAATGCTCAGCTTTACCCCAGGGTTACTGATTCACTAGGTCTGGGATGTAGGGAAAAGCTGAGAATTTGCATTTCTGCATTTCTAAGATGGTGTCAGGTGAAGCTACTGTTGCTTGTCTGGGAACCATCGTTTGAGAACCATTGGTTATAAACCATTATGTTGTTTATAAGTAAGAGTTTTTAATGTCCCCTATTTGTATACATTTCACTGTAAAAAAAACAAATGTTTTTCAGATGTAAATTGTGATTGATGGTTTAGAGAAAGTTAAGATTCGAGAATGATTCTCACAAGCCTCTGATCTCTGGAGTAATCGCAGAAAATCTCACGGGCCTATGGACCTGGCCATCTATTTCCTTCTAAAGGTGGTGGTTTCAGTTTGGTAGAATCAAATGTTCATGCGTTTTTATTGAAGCTTATATTGCTTTTTGTGGTTAGAAGTCATATAAAGGATAGTGAAAAGATCAGAATTGGTACCTGGGTTAGTTATGAAATGTTCTATAAATCATTAAATTAGGAGTAATTACACTTATTAGAGAATTATGAAATGCTCAGTTGACTAATTCAGCCTTGTGAGGTAATCCATATTATGGTGAATAAGATCTAAATATCACTAGTCCTTACTTTGATCATTGCTATTGTTGATATAGTTTCATTTAGATAAAAAAATATGGATGGCTATAAATGATTAAGGAAAAGATTTGGAAAAATTTTGTTCAGGATAAATGTATAAAAATGTTCTTATCAGATCATTTTGAAATTGATCCAACCTTGAGCAGCATAGATTTTTCACATTTTGTTGTGAGAAATCCTAAGAATTTAAGAATTTATGATCTTAAGTAGTTTACTACCTAGTTGTGGAGACAGATGAAGTTGAATAATGCCATTTTCAGTTTAAAAATCTGTTACGTAGTTTCTCTTCATTGCTTCTTTTTGGTACAATGGTGGTATTATCCCATTATACAAATGAATGATTTGAATAATAAGTCAGCTTGTTACTTATCCAAATAAACCTTGTAATAAAGTGGGTTTTTTTCCATTATACCAAAAACCAGCAATCTAAAAGGAGATTAAAAGTTTAAAAAAAATTTTTTTAATTAAAAAAAAATAAAAGATTAAAAGTATTAAGTACTTCATTGATTGGCAAATGTGAAGTGTGGACTTGAGTTCTTTGAGGTTAAAGGAAAAGGGAGTTTCTTCCAGTAGTAGCGATCTGGGAAGACTGGTAAGTAGGTGGGATCTCAAGGGGCAATGAAGTATGAGTGAGTTTGGCCTCCTGGTGGAGGTTGAAGGAAAATTATCTACATAGGTGAAAAATAAATATGATCACATATTAGGAAAGAGCATAATGTATTCATAGCATACCAGACGAGTTTGAGCTACAACGCAAGGTGGGTAGAATTCGTGTAGAAGAATTTTATGAAATTGTGCTGACAAAATATCTTATTATGGTGACAGGGTTTTTTTGTTTTCATTTTCTTTTTGCTGGTAAGCAAACTGTCACCCTTGGATATTGAATTTCTCTCTCATTAGCTGGTTCAGGAACAGGAAAATACAGGAAAGAGAATGTTTTAGAAAGAAATATGGTAATAGTGTAAGAAGACAGATTGTGTTCACAAAGCCTAGAAGAATGCAAGACTTGTTAAGAGCTGATGGCCCTGTCTTAGGGCACCTCAATGGCTCATTCGGTTGAGCGTTGCACTCTTGAATTCAGCTCAGGTCATGATCTCAGGGTCATAAGATCAAAGCCCTGCATTGGGCTCTGTCTGTACTCAGTGCAGGGTCTGCTTCTCCTCTCCCTCTCCCTCTCCCTGTGCCCCTCCCCCTGCTCATACAGGCTATCTCTCTCTCTCTCTTTCTCTCTCAAATAAATAAATCTTTAAAAAAAAGGAAAGAAAGACAGTTCACTCACTGTCTTAGAGTGAAGTGAGGACAACCTAAATTGGCACAGTGGGAATGAAAAGATGAATGGAAGTTGAACACTAATGTGAAGCAGAATCACAGTGACTTGGTCTTCATAGTCAACTGTTAAATGATGGGGAGGATTTATTGGCTGACTTGGGAAGAACTAAAAAATGTTCGTAGGACTGATAAAACAGAGTTTTGCAATCTCAGACTCAGGCTAGACCTTAAGCACTGAGTGATTCTGATCAGATTATTAAGCAGTTTTTGTCCCATATATTTATATCCTCCATCTTCTAGCTATTATTCCTCTGTTCCTTATCAAAACCAAACTTTTTCTTTTTAAATAACAGCTTCATTGAGATACAGTTCACATACGCTAAAAAATCATCCCTTTTTTTTTTTTAAAGATTTTATTTATTAGAGACAGCGAGAGAGGGAACACAAGCAGGGGGAGTGGGAGAGGGAGAAGCAGGCTTCCCGCCGAGCAGGGAGCCCGATGCGGGGCTCGATCCCAGGACCCTGGGATCATGACCTGAGCCAAAGGCAGTCGCTTAACCAACTGAGCCACCCAGGCGCCCCAGTCACCCTTTGAAAGTATACAGTTCAGTGGATTTTTCATATATTCAGAGTTGTATAACTGTTGTCTAATTTCAGAACATTTTCATCATTCTCCAAAAGAAACCCTGTACCCATTAGCAATCATTCCTCATTCCCCCTCCAACTCCCCACCCCACTGGCAACCACTAATCTCCTTTCTGTCTCTAAAGATTTTCCTGTTTTTGCACATTTCATATAAGTGGAACCATACAAAACGTGGCCTTCTATGGCTGGCTTCTTTCACTTAGCAAAATGTTTTGAAAGTTCATCTGTATTGTAACATATATTAATACTTAATTCCATTTCCATTGTATGGCTATACATTTTATTTATCCATGGACATTTGTTGTTTCTGCCTTTGACTATCATGAATAATGCTGCTATGAACATTCACATACATGTTTTTATCTACATGTATATTTTCATTTCTCTTTCATATATACCCGTGTGGAGTTACTAGGTCCTCTGGTAACTGTTAAACTTTTCAGTGAAATCCCTGACTCTTTGCCAAAGTGGCTGCACCATTTATACTCCCACGGCAATGTTTATATAATCACACTCTTCACTTCCTGTTCACTCTTCAGCCACTGTCGTCTGGCATTAGTGGTTAATATTCCTCCCAAACCACTGTTGCCAACAGGAACTTCCATATTGGTAAATCCAGGCATCCCTTTTCAGGCTTTATTGTATTTGATTATCTGATTTCTCAGCAACATCGAAACATTTTTCTCTTGGCAGCTGGCCTCTCAGTCTCTTTAGCTGGCAACTCCTTGTTCGCCTAACTTCTACATGTTGGAGTTCCTCAGAATTGGTACTGGGTCCTTTCCCTTTTCTCTTTGCTTCCATTCCTGTGGCTTTTTTTTTTTTTAATTGAAATTTTTGAGAAAATTGTATGTTCACATACAGCTATAGGAAATAATAAAGATTCCTTAAACACTTTGCCAGTGTGATGTTTCACAAAACTATATGTAATATCACAGTGAGAGTGTGATACAATCCATAGAACTTAGATTTTCCTAGTTTTTCTTATACCTCATTTGTGTGTATGTATGTATTAAGTTCTGCATAACTTGATCACCTGTATAGGTTTGTGTATCCACCACCACAGTGTAGATATTAAAGTTGCAAATAGGCAAGAATCCTTCTTCTTGTCTTTTCAAGCCACACCCATCTCCCTCTTATACAACCAATGCCCCTAACTCCTGGAAACCACTAATCTGTCCTGCATTTTTAGTATTTTGTCATTTCAAAAAGCATAGTTACGTAAATGGAATCCCACATTTTGGGATTGTAACTCCTAAGAATTAGATTTTTTACTCATCCTGATTCCCTGGAGATTCATCTACGTATATGACTAGTACAGTTTAACCAGCCACTTCTTGAAGGACTTGTAGCCTGATTCTAGTGTTTGGTTACTGCAAATAAAGCTACTATGAGTGATTATATACACCTTTCTGCATGAATGTGTTTTGCTTTCTCTGGGATAGATGTCCAGGAGTACAATGGCTGGGTGATATAGTTACTGTAGCATATTGAATTTTTAAATAAATTGTTAAACTCTTTTCCATAGTGGCTTCACCATTTTATATTCCTACCAGGAATGTGTAAGTGATCTAGTTTCTCCACATCCAGCATTTGGTTTTGCCACTTGTTTTTACTTTAGTGATTCTGCTAGGTAGTGATACCTCATTGTGGTTTTTTTTTTAATATATATATCTTTATTAGGATATCTAGAATCAACTTTTGCTTTTTATTAACATATAATGTATTACTTGTTTCAGGGGTACAGGTCTGTGACTCATCAGTCTTAACACAACACAGCACTCACCACAACACATACCCTCCCCAGTGTCCATCACCCACCCACCCATCTCCCCACCCCCTCCCCTCCGGCAACCCTCAGCTTGTTTCCCGAGATTAAGAGTTTCTTATGGTTTGTCTCCCGCTCTGGTTTCTTCTTGTTTCATTTTTTGCTCTCTTCCCCTATGATTCCCTCTCTGCCTTGCTTCTCAATTCCACATATCATTGAGATCATATGATAATTTTTTTTCTCTGATTGACTTAGCACTCAGCATAATACCCTCTAGTTCCATCCATGTCATTGCAAAGGGCAAGATTTCATTTTTTGATGTGTTGCATAATATTTCAGTGTGTGTGTATATTTACATCTACATACATATACATATATACCACATCTTCCTTATCCATTCATCTGTCGATGGACATCTGGATCTGGGATCTTTCCATAGTTTGGCTGTTGTGGACATTGTTGTTATAAACATTAGGGTGCATGTGCCCCGTCAGATTACTACATTTGTATCTTTGGGGTAAATACCCAGTAGTGCAATTGCTGGGTCAGAGGGTAGCTCTATTTTCAACTTTTTGAGGAACCTCCATACTGTTTTCAGAGTGGCTGCACCAGC